TCCGCAGATCCCTCACAAAATTTAGATGTGGCATCAGTAAACTGTATGTACAAACCTATAGAAGATCCAAAGATGATGATATTAAAATGCCCTGCTTATTCTGATTTACGCATCAGGTATATACCCCAATACCATTGTGTAAATCCCAACATACAGAAGTTTGTAAATTTACTTAATACGCAAAATGTAGATGTTATTTTACGCCTAGCCATATTTGTAAACAAAATCCATAACGTTTCATGATGATTATAAATACCAGTGTACTTCTCATGCGTAAAATAACATTTGCATTTTGGGTATTAAGTCAATTTACAAACTTCTGTATGTTGGGATTTACACAATGGTATTGGGGTATATACCTGATGAAATAGATTAATGACTTCCAAACTTGAAAAAATAGAAGCCCAGTCCAGAAGGGATAATTTGATATTTTTGGGAATAAAGGACAATGTGGACGAAAAATGAAAAGAAAGTGAGGAGAAAACCAGAAACTTTGAGACAGGCGAGGAAAGTTTTAGGAGAGTATTTCAAAGATTATCGTAGTAGAGGAGATGATTGCTACATAATCATATCATATGATAAACTGATCATTAATGGCTCTGTGTTTGAATACGACTGGTCTGAGAAGACTATAGTGGAAATCGGGAAAAGACACCACCCCCTGTCCTCCGAGAGCCGGCTCCCACCCTACAGCTCCGATGCGAGTTCCCCCAGGAGAGGGGACAGCACCGACACGAACAGACGACACAGAGACGCAGACCCGCCCCGAGATGCGCGTGAGAGACTCAGCTCACAGCGGGACTCAGACAGATAGGAGGATGGTCGAGGCCATACACATTTACAAGCTACGTACAATGATAATCTTAACATTGATGAACAAACTCATGAAACTCGTATCCTAATTCCTTTATCTTTCTTGTCTTGGAATATTAATGGGTTATATTCTAAAATCTATAGCCTCAATTTTCTAAATGATTATGATGTCTTTGCACTCATCGAAACGTGGGCAAAAAATGCTACCGATTTTGAACACATTTTTCCAGATCACATATGCCATCAATGTGTACGGGAGCGGCTGCACCAAGTGGGTAGATACAGCGGAGGTATCGCTGTTTACATTAGGAGGTCAGTGTCAACACTATTCACCCGCATCCACAGTGAGTGGACAGACTGCGTCTTCTTCCTGACTGATGTACCCACCCAGTGTAACATCCTTGGCTTTGTGTACGTGCAAGATGCTACAACTACAGCAGCTAACTCTTGGGATTGTACGGGTATTGAACTTTTAGAGGACAAGTTACTTTGTCTTATTAGAGAATACCATACAGCTATATTTACACTTTTCGGTGATATGAACTCTCGTGTTGGTAGAGAGCAGTGCTTTTTTGAAAATGATAATGTTTCTTATCTTATAATTGATGCACAGGATTATGACTCTGACAGTTTTAATATATTAAGAAATTCACGAGGGGGAAACAACTTTTGGATATCTGTAGAAATATGAAAATACCTCCCTCTAGTTGTTGACATGACAAGACCACGTGACCCCACACGAGCGCGTGCAACATGCATTCAGTCTCACGCCGCTCATCAAATACACAAGTACACGTGGCGAACAGAACATAGGGGTAAGTTCTCCGATATATTAAAGCAATCCCTTACTTATTTCTCCCAACAATTTGATGATAGTATACATGTTAGTATAGACTGCTCTAGAATCCATCCAGACTTTGTTTAGATATTGTTTTACACATGCAGACATAAATGTTACTACACAGCATTTACAATCAACACAAACAGAAGTAACAACCAGCCCAGATGGTTGGATGAAGACTGTGAGAGATCGAAACGACATAAATATGCACTCCTTGATACATTTAGTGTTACAAACGACCCAGCACATTGCAAGCAATACCTCGATGCTAAAAAAGAATTTAAAGCCCTATGTAAACAGAAAAAAACTACTTTTGAAAACAATATAGCGGAGGAAATTGCAAACGCAGCAAACGGTAAATCATGCAAAGAGTTCTGGAAGTCAATCAAGAAGTATTGTAACACTGCCAGCAAACAAACAAACATCACTCCAGATAACTGGTACAAACACTTTAGTAACCTCTTTGATCCTCAAACAGATTGCACACAGTTTGATGTACATGTACGAACATTTCTTGAAAACCATGACGTTGTTAATTGTGAACAAGGTAGAGACTGTGACGATATCTTGGGTGACGAGATCTCATATGATGAAATCTTGAATGCAGTTAAGAATCTGAGAAATGGTAAATCCCCCGGGGCTGATGGTATTCCGACGGAGGCCATTAAGGAAACTTGTTTGATATTATTACCTTTTTATAAACATTTTTTCAACGAGATTTTCAACACTGGTAATTTTCCAGATTCTTGGAACCTTGGTCTTATCGTTCCGTTACATAAAGCCGGGGATAGAGAGGATCCCAATAACTACAGGGGTATTGCTCTACTTGATATAATTAGCAAAGTATTCACAAGTATTCTAGATACACGTATAAAACTTTGGGCTTCAACACAGGATATCATTTCCTATTCGCAAGCAGGGTTTAGAGAAGACTACAGTACTATTAACCAAATATTTGTTCTAAATTCGATTATCCACAAGTAAGGAAAAAACGTGGAAAATATTACTGTATTTTTGTTGATTTTAAAAATCTTTTGATACCGTTGACAGAAACAAGCTCCTATATATATATACTTCTCGACAATGGTCTACATGGTAAAATTAGCACTATTTTACGTTCAATGTATACTCATGCAAAAGCAGCTGTTAGATGTACGAAGTACAGTATGACTGAAATATTTAACCCAGTGACTGGAGTACGACAAGGTTGTATCTTATCTCCAGTCCTATTTATTATGTACATTGATGAACTAGTTAACGCCATCATAAACAGCGACTATAGTCGCGCTTTTATTGATGAGACTATAAATGCACTGTCAATTCTTCTGTTTGCGGATGATGTCGCTATATTTGGAGACAGCGTTGTGAACCTACAGAATAGGATAGATATCTTAGAACAGTATTGTACGAAATGGGGATTGTCAATAAATACAAATAAGACAAAGGTCATAGTTTTTAAAAAAGGTGGTAGAATAGCAGAAAGAGAAAAATGGTCAATTGGAACAGAGAAACTAGAAACTGTCTCCTATTATAAGTATCTGGGATTAACGTTATCTTGTAGAAATGTATTCACAAAAGCTTGGTTTTTTGTGTGTAAGCAAGCAGAGAAAGCCTTATTTCCTATTAAGAAATTCATGTACAGATATAAAACAATTCCGTTCGATATATTTTTCAAAATCTTTGACTGTAAAATCCAACCTATATTATTATATGGAGCAGAAATTTGGGGATTTGTTATCCGCCATGGAATAGAAAAAGTACATTAAATTTTTTGTAAAAACGTTCTAAACGCTCTCGCACATCGAACAGGGCAGTTTTAGCCGAATTTGGAAGATACCCCTTACATGTAAATTATATGACACGAGATGTTTCGTTCTGGATACGTCTGCTTCGGCAACCAGACACACGTTACCCACGTTGCTCGTATGATATGTTGAAACGTTTATACGACAATGGAGATATTAACTGGGCTTCGGCAGTACGATCACTATTATTTCAACATGGCTTTGCTTATGTATGGATATATCAAAGTAGTGGAAACTGGGAATTGTTTTTAAATCTTTTAAAACAACTTTGTAAAGACATGTACTATCAAGAATGGACACAAGATATACGAAACTCAAAATCACTGCATATGTATTCTGCCTTTAAATCTGATATTGTTCCGGAATTGTATTTGATCGCACTCTCTTCGTTTACATCTGCGCAGAGTCTTAACAAAATTCAGATGCGGCTCCACCAATTTAAAAATAGTTTCGTATAGAAAATCTAAAGACAATGACATTAGTGTAGCTATGTGCGATTATTGTAAAAAATGTACCAGAAGATGAGTATCATGTGTTAATGAAATGTCCTTTATATGCAGCGGTAAGAACTCACTACATACCAAGTATCTATATCATGAACCCAAGTAAACAAAATGTGTACATATTCTAAATACTAAGAACCATAACATAATACTCCGTCTAGCAATTTTTGTAAACAAAATCATGTCCATGCGCTCTGTAAAAATTTAATCTAAGTTGTCATTTTGTACTATTGGCCTCATGGCCACATCTATGAAATAAACCTGTCTGTCTGTCTGTCTGTCTATATACCTGATGCGAACATTATTACTTTGGATAACCCATGCTGCTTTTAATCCGGTATCACTTATCCCACCGGGTACCCATTCACTGCTGGATGAACAGAGCACATTTTATGGACAGACTCACTTGCCTGTCGCTCACAGGCTTCCTTGTGCAACCAACGTTTTACTTTTTGTGTGACCTGTGCTCTTTGCACAAGACCACACACTGCCACATTAGCCGTGCTACCAAAATCTCGCGTTGTCTCGTTTTCGCTTTGTCGCATTGTCGCAGTTGGTTAATTATGCCACTTTCGCTTGTTTTTGTCCCTTCTAGGATGCCATAGTATCTAGATATACCTTGCACTTGATTAGCTGCACACTGCCCAGCGACGATATCTTGCTCAGGCAGTTGTAAGATTACAGATGACGTGACACATGACACCAACGCCCACCCCTGCAGACGGATGGTGCAGATACTGCACAACCAGGATATATAACACGATATGAATACATGATCAGAATCCTACTCGAAATAACTCCCCACACTCATATACGTTTCATTACCAAGCTGCGTGCCGCCATATTGTTTGAATATAACTGAGTGCAGTGTTAAACAACTAAACACCAAGCTGTGTGAACAGTAAGTTCAGATAACAACATTGTTGATAAACGGGAAGTCGTTGAGGAAAGTCAGATATATAGTATACCGTTCGATGTAGCGAAGTTGATCATGAATTACCTGATTATTGTGTCCATGTTGTCCTCCCCGCTGTTGGGATGGAGGCACCAGTGATAAATTCCACCTGGGGATATATACAGGGAGTGGAGAGGACCAGTAGGGACGGACAACCTTACTTTGGCTACTACGGAATCCCGTACGCGAAACCTCCAGTTGGAGATCTCAGATTCAGAAAACCTCAACCACATCCAGGAGTTTCTGACGTTTTTAATGCTTCGAGCCATGGACTGCCATGTCTCCAGCGATATTCCTTTCCAGCTATGAGTGAAGACTGTCTCACGTTGAATGTGTTCCTGCCAAATGCAACCGATGTATCGTCCAGGGTGCCAGTGATGGTATGGATTGACGGGTTAGGATTTGTGTATGGATGCGCTTCTTTGTACGAGCCTTGGCAATTGGTGACAAAAGGTGACGTTATAGTCGTCACCATCCAGTACAGACTGGGAATATTCGGATTTTTCAGTACAAAAAAACCCATCGCACCGGGAAACTACGGATTATGGGATCAACACCTGGCGCTCCAGTGGGTCAAGACAAACATTGAAGCTTTTGGCGGTGACAGCAACAACATCACCATCATCGGAGAATCTGCAGGGGCGGCGAGTGTGGCCTATCACGTGTTGTGCCCGGGGTCAAAGGGGCTGTTCCAGAGAGCAGTTCTACAGAGTGGAGCTGCCACATCTCTCTGGGCGATCAACAGAAATGATGAACTTACAGCAATAAGTTTTGGATATAATTTAGGTTGTCATGGTGGAGGTGGTGACGCAATGAGCAGACAAAGGGACATGGTAGACTGTATCAGGAAGACCGAAAGTACGAGAGTATTAGCCTATTCCAATTTTGGATGGTGGATGACCTACGAGCTCATGCAGTACACGTGGGTCCCCACCATTGATGGGATCTTTGTCAAAGACGATCCTCAAATCTTAATGAGAGACATCACATTCTTAAATACCACGTAAATCAAGGACATCGATGTTATGGTAGGGGCCAACAACAACGAAGGGGGACACTTGTTAACGCGCGCTATAGCATTTGACATGGCAAATAATTACACATACTCTACCGACATGTTCAAGCAGAAGGAGTATGACACAGATATCCTCCCAACAGTTACATCACTGTCATTAAGAGCTAGCACTCCATCCATCAATAACATCGCCAGCGTGGAGTACACCTACCCCCGACCACCACCTGACCAGCCACTGCCTCAGCAACAGGTACTTGGAACATACGGTGACCCCAGCTTCGTAGTACCGGGTGTCCTCTTTGCCAGGACGTATGCGATGTTGAACACTAACAGGAAGTGTTACTTCTACTTGTTTGACCACTATCCATCCTTCACCAGAGAAGTGGAAGGTATGAACCATGGAGTGGACAACAAACTCGGTTTGACCTGAATCCGGCCTTGCTCAAGAAGTTTGGCTACTCAGGGAACCTGACGTCAGAGGAGTATCAGCTGGCGGACACATTTGTTTCTTTCATTGCTGACTTTGCCAAGACTGGGTACGTAAGCATTATCATGTCATGGTTTTATTTCCACAATCGTGTAGGGTATATCATCAGCCATCTGTCCTTAATTGTAATGCGTTATAATAACAATACATATTTCTAAAAATACCGCGATACTTGTACATTCGCGCACACGAGGGGAATATCCATCAGTCTTTCAAAGTGGTTACTTTATTTTCACAGTAACCCCAACCCTGCTGTTGAAAAAAGCTTGGACAGGCGTGGCCTGAGTTCACTATGGCCGACCAGAGTTACCTATCCTTCACAACAAACATGTCAGTACGTGACCACGTCTACCCCAGACGAGTGACCCTGTGGCTGGACATCATCCCCAACCTCATGAAAATTGCCACTACATCTACAGCTTCCTTGTCATCTACGTCCACTGCAACACCAACCACATCTGGCCAGACATTGTTCGTACTGTCCGTCACTATTCTGGGACTTATGTGTCTGTAAAATTATATGTGTCATGGGTCTTTCACTGGCAACAGCAGTTATGTGTTACTGTTTTAAGCGGAGGAGACACGGGATTGAAAGAAATACATTGGCATGAGAACAACAGGTCTCAGGATTACTGCCAACTTTGTGTCACTTGACGATCATATTTATGTTGAAGTTGCAGGACACAGTTAACGTCGTTTTTGAGATTCTTCTTAACTCCCACTTTTAGGCTCATTCACGGGATCTGCTATCACCTATTTCTGAATCAACGATTCATTGTGTAAAGCATAAGAAAAGAAAATTGTGGTTTGGTCAAGTAGAGCATTTAGTTATTCTTTCATCATGAAAGAACACTATTATTTGAACTTCAGTTTTACTGATGACATGACGTTTGAATCGTGAAGGTAGTTAATAAAGGTGAGAACGTCCATCTGACTGGCTCAGCCACCGCGGCTTCCACAAAATGGAAGTCTTAGAACTGGTAGACTGGATTATGGACTTTGCATACCACTCTGACATGTGTAAATCGGCACGACTCTCATGGAAGCCAGGGTGGCTGAGTGTGTTTGATAGCTGACGTCAGCACGTACATTTTTGAAGAGATAACCGTGTTACAAAGCCCAATCACTTCAGTTATGAACTCCGCTTCGTTCGTTAGATTGTTATGAGATAAACCATTATTATGGACGAATTGTGCTGGCGATTAGGTTCCTGACTTTGACAGTGTGGATTTTAATAGCGATGGGATTCAACAAAACTAGAATTTGTACTTTACTTAAACAGTGTAATCCCAAATATACTATTCACACTTTGCTAAGGATCAAACCTTTGATTCAACAGAAAACTATGATGTGGGGTCTAATTTGGTTTAAATATCTAAGCTTATTGTAAGCATGGATCCTAGGCTTCAGTATGTCACTGCATTTTGTGGATCCCATACCTGCTATTCACAGGTGTTGTGTACTTGTCGATGACTCGTTCCATGATTTGCAAAATGGTTGATTGTTGCCATGAAAACCATATTTATGGTTACTCATATACCAAGTGCATAAGGCTAGATTAAAGTGCCTGTTTGCCTAAAGAGGGGTTACCATATCATTATTTATCTAGTTTTAAATGGATACAATTTCAAATTATAAATCTATGATTAAGTAAAGTTGGGAATTTGTGTGATCCTTAGCACAGTGTGAGTAGTATATAACATGTGTTACATTTCTACCGTTGGTAAAGATCTCAACGTGTACACATAACAGCATGCATCTTATCAATAGAACCTCTACAATTCCATTGAATAATGGTATTCGAGCTCATGGAGGCTTAATTTGAGTTCTTGATTGGGATTGGAGTCTACTCCCATGGATGGGAGTTTTGGACTGACCTCCATCTCTAAAGGTTCAAACGGATTGTGAACCTCTACAACAGATGGCTCAGAAGGCACCTCAACGTGCTGGAGAGCCCTGATCCTTCTCTCTAATTTTTTTCTTTTCACTGTTTGATAAGTGTTTATGGCTCCTGGATGCATCTTTACCATTTTGCAAATCTGGCTCACTTATGTGATGTGACGTCACTTATGGGATCCGATAATTCCTCTGTCTGAGAACATGACACAGATGTGTCACTCTGTTTTGTGGGCATCTGAGTAACACCATCCAGAATGAGTTGGTTTGTAACCCAGGAAATTGATGTCTGACACATGACGGAGGTTGTGGCAACTTTAGCGACTGGAGGTGGGGAAGAAATCACAGTCGAATAGTTTATAGTAGGAGTTTCAGAAGGATCTGGACCAATGTTTTGGCTTCAAGAAAGGAAATGTTTTGGGTATATATGATTTTAAGAATTTAAGATTCTCGTTGGAAAAAGGAACATGTTTTTGATGAGGCCATATGCTCTTCATTGCAGTTAGCGCACTTGATTACATTTGTGCACTCAGTGCTTTCATGGTCTGCAACGGGAGCTCACCGTGTTATATCTGCAAGTTTTTGTTCCATGTCCAAATCGCTGGCATTTATAGCACCGGAGAGGATTTGGAACATAAATATTGAAATACCCAGCTTTGATTGATTTTGGAAGGAATGCAAAGCCAAAAGTAAAGAGATAACCTTTTGTTTTGACAACTTCATCATTTTGTTTTCTGGTAAAGCGTTTAACGGCCGCAACTCCTTGATTCTTTAGTTCAGCTGGAATTTCTTCCTCGCTCATGTCTGACAGACAACAAGCCCGGTCCCTGATTATCCCTCGACATGAGTTCAGTGTCTTGTGGTCCGAGACAACAACTTTAGTGTTAACAAACTGTTTTAAGGACAGCAGATTAACTGATTGTTGTCTCCTTGCACATTCCACTAGGTAGAACCACCTCGGAGACGTGAAACATTCTCAACATCGCTACAGACACCTTTGATGCCTTTAGCAATGACAAAGAGATTAAGTTTTAACGGATTGCCATCTTCAGATGCAATGATAAGAAATCTCGGCCAAGATCTGTGACGTTTTGAAGGATTTCTTCGTCAGATGATAAACCATCAATATGACGTCGTTAGTGCTTCGATGAACCAGGAAAGGTATTTTGAGCCATGGTTATAGTAATGGGATTCGACACCTCTGTTCCCCACCCACCATGGAGTGTCAACAAGGACTATGTTGCAGCGGAATCCCATCTGCAACATTAGTGTTACAGGGGTGTTATACTCAAGATATAAAAACATGAAAGAGCTGTAATTACTAAAAGAATAAATCCAAGGCTGGTTTGGCCCATGACACTTTTCCCAAGAAATACAGAATTAAGAGGTTCGTATATCCAGATTGGCCCAGGTGCCACCGCCTTGTAGCATTGGACTCTAGGCAATTTAACAAAACAAAAAGTGTTTGATAGACCTGCCATGAACAACAGTTGTTAACTACAAGCTGTCCATACTCAGGGCATGACGTGACCAGCCGATTGATAGAATCGGGCCCATTCTACCACCCGTCTAGGTGAAGTAAGGGGCGAAGTGATGTGTTGGGCAAAGGAACATTGTTCCTGGAACCAGTGCCCTGAACCACCAGACTCCCGTCCTCCACCGACACAGTGGCGCAACCCACGGCAACACGGGCGGTTGAAGAGCTCTTAGCGTTACCCAGCACCCACCACGAGGAGGTGGCTCTTCACGGGTGCCCGGTGAAATAAGAACGGCCATAAGTGTGAAGAAGTATGTTGTGAAAAAGTATATAAACACGAAAATACAAAAAGGCCCCACTCAATGACCAAACATTCAAACACAAGATGAATACTTTGAGACGTGACAAGCATACTATATATGGGTTCCGGGTGAACAAGACATCGTTGTTGTCATTGGATACAAAGAGATGGATTGCTGATGATAGTATAACTGCTTATGCATATGGGTATCGCTGGGAACAATGAGCAACTCTTCTGGCACAAGTCCCTCGCCTGGTCCATCCTTATGGTAATACAAAAAAATGGTTCACCTTCTTTCATATTCATCAGGCTAATGTTGTATGTTTTAATGGACAAAATTGGATCAGTTGCACGGCGTTGACTTCTCTCTAGGCCACTGACTTGGTATAAATATCTTAAACTAACTCTATCTAGGAGTTTTAATTCTTTACCCCTTAGTGGTACAGATGACTCAGAAGTCACAGATTACATTTTAATGGCATTGGATGGTTTCTTACCATTTGATTCAGTTACTTCGTTGTTTGACACTGTCCTCGTTGATCCTTATTGCGAAACGTTGTTATCTGAACTCACTGTTCACACAGCTTGGTGTTTAGTTGTTTTACACTGCATTCAGTTATATTCCAACAATATGGCGGCACGCAGCTTGGTAATGAAACGTATATGAGTGAGGGGAGTTCTTATTATTAGAATGTCATCCTACATTCACATCATGTAATACATCCTGGTTGTGAAGTATCTGCGCAATTCCATCTGCCTGGGTGGGTGGGCGTCATGTGTCACGTGACCTGTAATCTTACAACTGCCGGTGCAATATATCGTCGCTATTGCGTAGTGTGCAGCTAATCAAGTGCAAAGTATACCTAGATAATATATATAACGGCATCCTAGAAGGGAAAAAAACAAGCAAAAGTTGCCAAATTAACCAAATTAGTCCTTCATCATTCACCTGATGAAGGAGTAAGAACATACGTCGAAACGTCGTGACCCTTCACAATAAAGAAGTTGTCATCCATAAACAAACCCTTGTCCTTACACACTAGTGTTAAATACAAACGGTGAGAATCTAGTTATTTTTACTGGTGTGACTCTAAATGTTAACTTACTCTGTTACTACCGAAATGTTTTTGTTTGAGATGCCCCCTGCTCGAAATGCTTCACAGCACAATAAATCTAGTAGACACGATTTAGTCTACTGTGAAGCATTTCGAGTCGGGGGTTATCTCAAATGTATATATTATGTATAAGAAAGTAAGATTCTTTATAGTTAACAACTTCTTTTACTATTTAAGTTGTTATCCATAAATAATCTTACTATCTTATTAGTCACCAACTTCTAAATGCCAATCAAACAGATCGTATATATATATTGAGAGAATCTCACCCAAGTGTCTTCTGATATCAATTATATCAACACGAGTTGATAAAGTTACAAATATCCGAGGCTTGCCGAGGATATTTTTACTTTTATCAACGAGTGTTGATATACTTGATATCAGAAGACACGAGGGTGGAATTCTATTTATCATCCAAAATCACTCTTCAATAATTTTAAATGAAAAATGTACATCTCTGAACATGGTACTGCCATTAGACTTGCAGTGCAGCGATGTCATAGCATTGTGACGTCATCAAGTACATGACGTCATAGCATTGTCAGGGCATTGTACAAAATCTACTGTCAAAGCGATATCTCCTAGGAGATATCGTTTGATCTCACACAAGCGATATCTCCTGTGGAACACAGTTTTGGATGATATATATATATATAAAGAAAGTGATGAGAAAACCGAGCGTACAGTAGTACATATATAAGAAGAAGTTTCTGAAATAATCACACGACACGGATCTTCTCCAACATCGGGAGAAAGTGAAAATATATATGAAAGTGAAATATATATATTTAAAATCCTTAATCCTCGCAATGATACGAGGTTCGAAATTCTGTGCTACTTCACACGAAAACGAAACTCTAATTCTGTTTAATTTCAATGTTCATAAACATTACTGACGCACTCTCAAATTGCTGCTTTTAAAACATTGATCAACAAGGGGAAAGTTCTATGCATAGATAACTTCTTTATTACAATATTCGCGACGTTTCGGTGTAGATACTTGATAAGCTAATATGAAGATTCAATGAAGATTCATCTCCTTCTGACAATGAAAACATTATTAAATCAGTTCAAAATTACATAATTGAAACAAACCACTTTACAGAAATTAAGTAACACCTTAAGAATATAAAACGCATTTGGTATCTTGCTTTTTGTTTTTATTTTGAGTCATCCATTAATGTCTGCTTCATAGAATTGATTATGCTGTACTATATACGGAGAAGCATTGATATAGGCCTTTTGGGCCTGTTTGCTTATCCCGTTCCCATTTTGTTATGTTATGGAACATATTGAATGTAAACATTAATTGAAATAAAACATCGTTTAAATCAAATATTGTAATAAAGAAGTCGTTTATCCACAGAACTATCCCCCTTGTTCACATTGTAGGTTCACATTGTAGGTTCCCGGCCGATCCTGTTCCAAACTGACGGTCTTTAATGACGGCTGAGGCCCGGGAAGGGGTATTCCTATAATCACGCACAATAACACCACACTGATTCACTCAACACCAACCTAACACATACCTGTAGACACCAGGTAACAATAGATTATGAACAATAGATTATGAACAATTGCAGATTAACACGATCTGAGCGGATACACATTGCTTGGCATTGACGTTGTTGTGACGGTGCATAATTAACATTCCATTCAGTCTACACTTTATCCGATTGGATCTCGGTAATTCCTTCACAAACGCCATTTCTATTTCTGGGCTAATCTACTTCTCCAGGAACTAAATCATTTCTATTGTATTCCACCAACACGTTGATCCCTCCTTAGTTGTTTTCTTATGCAATAATGTCGTTAACATTACACGCTAGACGTGTATATAAAACAGCAATGTTCTGTTCCGCATCAGTCAAAGCTTCTTCGGCTAACGTTTACTAGGTAGGTGTGGGGGGACGCTGATTTTAAGGTCTTTGTTTATAGGTATATCTTATGATCAAATGTATTTTTTGGATCGTTTCTTTACGATAGGAAATTTAAACAATTTATGTTGTTTTTTATTTCATGGAAAATGCTATTGTAATTGTTAAGTTACTTGAATACTCATTTGTGTATCCTTGACTGATATTACGAATATGCCATATATCTTTGTCGTCCAGGGTTTGATTCCCCACACAGGTAAATGTGTGAAGTCCAATTCTGGAGTTCCCGACTATTGCTAGAATATTGTTAAAAGCAGCGTAAAAGCATACTCACTCACTTTGTCACTTTGTCTTCCCCGGCCTTGAAGTTCGGTGTAGTATTTTCTTTAGACAGTAAAGGTTAATCGGTCTCAGCTCGTACCCGGAATCCCAAAGTACTAAAGCATGGCGTGTTAGTCATGTAAATATTTAATTAATCTCGTTATATGGCGCCCCTGACCACAACATTGCTTCTTTCAGCACTCCTCCAAGATGAAGCTGGTCCTCTGTTTTGTCCTCCTTCCTGTCCTCGTCCTCTCCTCGCCATCTTTTAAGGGGCGCCTCCTGGAGCTGCTGGAGAAAATGGAGAGGAGGCAGTTGGAGGACACGACACCTTATAACGAGGGTACAACGTACCAGGTCGACACTACTGAACCTCCCAGCACAGAGTTTGACACGGAAATGACAACTACATACGACGTGGACACCTCAACAGTGGTCAACCCCGACGCGACATCAGATGCAATTGAAGACGACATGGCAACACCTGTATATGACATGGCGTCGACAACATTAACGCACGAAGACGCCAAAGATATGACAACTCCGTGTGCTTCCGGTAGGTGTTTCATTTTATGAAAAATATCCCCATTTCAATTTATAAATATAAAACACCAATGAAAGAAAATAACCAGTTTCAAAACAAAACCCATTTGGCGTAGATACCAAATTATGTCAGAATATTATTTGAATGGATCGCTGAAAACAGTATTGACTCAGGTGTTTGCAAAAACGATCAGCTTGACCTGTCCTGTCCTACCTGTTGCACCCGCCATTCGAACAATTTGCGAAGCGATACTCCTGCCATACGACGGCGATATGCAAACAAACCAGACAATCAAGTAGTTGATTGAGCAGGAAGTGCAGTGACACGACAGCGGACTGACTGATTTCATTGAAACGCATGAAAAATATGTTACTTTTATAGTACATCTGCTGACTACAAGTGCAAAGATTTAATTGAAAATTATACAAACAAAACCATTGTAAGCTCTGCATTCGTTTTGCAACACACTAGGAGTATGTTAATTGGTAAGCCGAAATGTGTCTCTTAGCAGAAATTTCTCAGGGATGATGTGGTATTTTTGCTGCTTGTATTTTGTAGTTAACCTGGCATGGCGAGTTGGTTGAAGCTGCTGAGCTTATCAATATAATAACTGGAACTTCAGCCCGTCAGCAAAAACGATCACCATGTTCAAGTATAAATATCACTCCAATAAACCCTTTCCGGATACCATTTGTCCCAATGGAATAAATAGTTGTGACAATAAATTGAAGGGAACACCGCAAATCATTGATAACACATGCAGTTTGTGTGTTCCGTCTGCTAAGTATTTCAAGGCGATATTAATTCTCCTTTCATTTCCTTTGAGTCTTTACTCTTTCTCAACATTGAGCAACTTTCATTTCAGAAATGGCACCACGTGAATATGTTAGGCAAGCTACTGAAGGTGTGTGCATGCTGCTGTCGTTCGTGAAAGGACAAGAACAGCTCAGGAAAGTATTTGGTAATAATGGAGGTCCATCTCTGATGACTAGTCCAGATGGGGGGCTACCGACTTTGCCTTACCCCATGAAGAGGCTACTTAACCTAGATGGTCCAAAGCCTGTACAGCCTGCTCCAATGGGAGGGAATCCAGACCGGTCCGCTCCAAAGGGAATGCTACCTAAACATCATACTGACAAGTCTTTCCCCTGGGAAGAGGCTGAACAGAAGCTCCAGGACCTGTGTCAGCTCATCAACAGCTACAGCTCTGAACCTCTGCAGCTGGCAGAGAAACTGGTGCAACAGATGGGAGGTTAGTAAAGCATACACCATAATTGCATTGATGAAACTCCATATTCTAGTTTGAATGTATTACTGATTTAATTCCAGGTTCTCTCTGCCCTTTCTTCTAAGTCGCGTGAATGTTGGGAAGTGTTGATTGCCTTCAGTGTTCCACAACCTGATAATATTTCCGTGCGATTATTCAAGGTAGAAAATGTCTACCTTTTGTCACTTGATGTAACTGAAACAGTTTTGGAAGGATAATCAAAAGTGTTTTTCAAACATTTGTTTTAAACTGTGCAACAGGTGTTTTTATATGTTATTTCTTTTCCAGCTCACATGGGCCGTTAGATAGTCTCTTCATCCGACTGAGAAACACCACAAGCCTCACCAAGACCACTGGCTACCCTGCCATGTTGACATTGAAGTTACTCAAGCTACATAACAGATCATCTAGTACCTGTAGAAACATGTAGATATGTAATGATATTTTTGTAAATAGTAACATACAATAGATTTGTATTGTAACAGAACAGATCACTATTTTTTAAATCATTTTATGAATATATTATCTCTATGTTGATTGTAACAGATGGGATGCATATTTGATGGAAATACACAATTATTGTTTGTACCTGAGTCTCTGTGTTGTATTTGCATATTATATATTGTCTTTACAATGAAGATGTGCATACAAAGGAATATGAACTTAGGGTCAGGCCCTAATGACCACATAACTAAGTCACCTGGTCACCTACCATCGGATAAGTGGGTTCTTTTAAGTGCACAGGGTTGTGTTTTGCGTACTAGGGGTTGTGACAACACTGAAAAGCCTGCAAGTAATGTTAGCTCGAAGGTTTTTACACCCGGTCACAAGCGGGCATCGATCTGTTTATCTTTCGCTTACTAGCGCGGCGCCTTAGACAGCTCGCCCACCTATATCCCTTTGACATCATGAAATGGCAACCAAAAATATTACTGTACAATTTTCTTCGTTGTGAAGCTCACGTATCGTCATTCAAACCTGGGCATTGGGGTACCCTGATGGTTAAAGCGTCCGCTCGTGACGCCGAAGACACGGGTTCGATTCCCCACATGAGCACAATGTGTGAAGCCCATTTCTGGTGTCCCCCGCTGTGATATTGGTGGAATATTGCTAAATGCGGCGTAAAACCATACTCACTCACTCACTCATTCAAACCTCGTATGCCGAATTGCACAAATGCTATATAAAAGCGGTATTTGAGATAAAGAGCTTTATTGCTGTGTGTTGTGAATCAGGCATCGCTTGCTATACTTATTGCGATATATTGGGAACCAAAAAGCAATTGGCACTCATTGTACTGCGCTTATTTTTTCAACGGACTTCCAGACACAGTGCTTATTGCGCTTACTGGGTGTAATTAATTGGTTATCTCCCAACTGACAGACACCCATTTGACAGACACCCAATTGACAGACACTGAACTAGAAGGTTAATTAGGGTAACACCTACGGGTATAATGGAATACTGTAAACGTACTTATTTTCGCGTGGTGCAATTTTCGCGGAATTGACAGTTTAGACTACATCGCGCGGTCAATTATTCGCGCAATCAGTAATTGCCGGCACTGCCGCCACTAATAGCAGTGAAAGCAAACAGAGTGGCTTAACCTGTCAGGCGGCGTTTATTGCTTACTCACAGGAAATCCCTATCTGTGCGATATACGGAAGAGATGAAAAACACCTCAGTCTTATGTTCCGAATTCTGACGATCTGACGAATTAACTTCTACTGTATATGAAGCTCTTTGTGATTTCAAACAAGCCGGGTTGTTGTGAATGAGATGATTGAGTGTTAAGTGACTATTCGCTTCATGATGTAGTGGTAAATAAAATCTTAATGAATAAATAAAATACTGCTGTATTATTTCTTTCCGAGTCGTTTCATGGTAATCTGTTTTGTATTAAACCATCTGTCATGTGACCAATTTCCATGGCGGCCACAACACACATTGCTGTTTTCGCTAATTCGGCGATGGGATTTGGCTCATTATTTAATTATGTTTTGGGAAATCCATTACAGCGACAGTTAAGTATGATTCTTTATGCTACTATCAGTCAGCATTTCAAGATTCCCGTAGATTTCTGTCTTCAATCTTGATGTGTTATGGTAACAACTCAGGGGCGAGCGTGGCTAGAATCAGGCATCGCTTGCTATACTTAATACGATATTTTGGGAACCAAAATGCAATTGGCACTCATTGTACTGCGCTTATTTTCTCAACGGACTTCCAGACACAGTGCTTATTGCGCTTACTGGGTGTAATTAATTGGTTATCTCCTAATTGACAGACACCCATTTGACAGACATCCAATTGACAGACACTGAACTAGAAGGTTAAATAGGGTATAGTGGAACAGTCCACTGTCTAGTGAGTAGAGCCGGGTGAGCCTGAAACAGGTTCGTTACTGAGAAGTTTGATTGTGGTTAAAGAGAACTTTGTTGTGGATAAAATATAATGATTTATTTTCTCAAAATTGATTTTACTATCAATTACTATCGAATATAAAACCAGGTTTGTCACTGAGAGGTTTGATTGTGTTTAGTGATAGAAAAGCCCCCTCCCAATAATAGCATATGTACAACAGAAGTTAACTGAGAAAATGTTTTGTTGGAGAGATATAAATATGTGCATATTTGAAAACATTCTGATTTGCGGTAAATGAGATACCTGCATTGCCATGTAAGATACGATTAATACCAATCAGTGTTCTAATTTCAACAATACTTTCTAAAGATTGTAACAGTTTATGTCTTTGAGTAGTATACAATGGACATTCAAGGAAGTAATGAAAAACATTCTCACATCCACGGCCACATTCACATGAAGCGGCATATTTTAAATATTTATTCTAAATAAATCGTAATTAGTGTTTTTATTTGGACTATTCCATTATAATGTGTCGGTAACAGGTAGTAGATAATCTGTTGCCCGAACCGTAAATGTTGTTGTTTTAAGGTGTCTGCGAACTGGCTGTCTGCGTAATGGGAGGACACCAATTAATTAACCCCGGCGCTTGTTAGAGGTCCGGCGATTATTAGAGGAAGTACAGTAACTCCTGTGATTGTATCAGTATTGCACATTTTTGTGAAAACGCATTGTACGAAGTGGAGTGAGGTGTCAAGGGCCAACGTTACTTTCAAACTTGTGGGAGTTATTTATGCACAAGACGATACAACACTAACGTACATACAAGTACTGAACAAATGCACCCACACATCATAAAAACAAATAAAACTCGTTCGAGTATAAATAGGGTGGGTAGCGTATTGGTCCAAACGCTCGCTCGTAAAGCCGTTAAAATTTCGATTCGGGACAATTGCCGTCAGTTTAAAATGGGTGAAGCCCCTTTCTAGTTTCTCTAGATATTGCTAGAATAGGATTCGTGTTACCTTCCTCCGTCACTCCCTCTTCATTCATTCACACCCACTCACTAAATTGTATTATGCACCTATCAATATTCTATCTATATGGCAACAGTCTGTAAATAACCCAGTCTGGACCAGACAATCCAGTGACTGACATCATGAGCATCGATCTACAATAACGATAAGATGACATACATCAGCCAAGTGAACAAGCGTGATCACCCGATCCCCATAGTCGAATTTTACTACTAGCACAGGTCGTTTAAGATAAATTCTTACCAGATCGTCACGGTAAACGGACAAACACAGGAATGCATTTGTTCATAAATCTGTTCATGGTACTTATAATATCACTTTGATTTCCATATCTTAGAGTCCCCATGGTATGGTGATCTACCTTCAGATGTTGGCAATCTATAGCCTGTTTTTATACTGTATTGTCAACTATAATTAAAATGTTTTAAAGTTCATTACTAATCTTAAATTGAAATCTTTGATAAACTAGTTATTGTACTGTCCTTCGTTGACGGGGTTTTATAATTTACCTTTATTTATTATGAAACTTGTTTTTAGTAACGATATGGCTGAAATATTGCCGATGTGACTTAAAATCTTAACTCACTCATTCACTCACTCTTGGATAACAAGAGCTCAGCTATATCTGGGGGCGGTTGGAGTAGCCTTGTGGCTGAAGCGTTCGTTCGTCACGCCGAAAACCCGGGTTCAATTCTCCATATGGTACAACGTATGGAGCTGATTTCTTCCCCACCGTGATATTTTTACATTGCTAAAATCTTGTTTAACCGTATTCATTCACTGTTTACATTGCGACTTCTCGATGGAACGACCTTCAAGCTGATAGATACGAATGTAACATAGGATACAGCTTGATAACACAATCAATATTATCTTGGTGACTCACACATCAATAAGCTGTGCGAGGCGAACAACGTCCCAAACAGATGTGTGGTTATTAAACAGCTAATTCAAGCTGTCTCACTTTCTTCCTGCAAAGATGGTTACCACGATATTGCATCTCGGAATAGCGGTGTTGCTGGCCGGCTTAATGGTGGCCTTGTCTCCATCGCCACAACGTCCCAACATTGTGTTCATAGTAGCAGATGATCTAGGTAAGTACATATGCACTGGGGTCTGTTTACATCGAGTCAACCGTCAATCGATCGTTTGTTTGACATTATTTGCGGCTTAATCTTGGTCAGATGATGTTGTCGCTAAAGTGCAATAAGTTTGCATTGAAGGTGTATTACTGGTGCCTTTTATACACATTAGGATATGAAATCTCAATTCAAAGCACGTGATGCATAGTGAAACGCCATTCGATCGAACGACGTGACAGCTGTATGGTTGTCGTAATGTCATCGACGTCGAGATGTTATGTACGTTTGTTGATGTTTTCAGCATCTCGGTTCCGATGTGCAAAGGCTATATGTAAACAAGAAAAGCTTTTAAAATGACTGAGTGAGTTACTTTTTACGCCGCTTTTAGCAATATTCAAGCTATATCAGTGCGGGGGACACCAGATATGGGCTTCACACTTTGTGCCCATGTGGGGAATCGAACCCGGGTCTTCAGCGTGACGAGCCAACGCCTTAATTACTAGGCTACTCCATCGCAACGTTTGCGGCACTTGAGTAAAATAATAAATTTAGTAAGAAGCACGTGAGATGATTTGGGGACTGAAGCTGATTTCAAGAGCATCACGATGACCATACCTCCGTCTTTTGTTCAGGGCCGTCTTCTCAGCATATTCCCTTCAAGGTGTAACGGGAGATTGGGTTTGTTACATATCCGTCCAGACAAGATACTCCATGGTAAAATTCCCAGTTTGAAATGTAGACTGTTTAGATGTGTGAGGCGCATTGGTGGTAGTGTCAACGCGTGGTATATGGTCGACTGGGCAATTAGCTCATAATTGAGACGAAGTGTGCGTTGACGAAGACGAAGGCATAGTTGAGTCCAAACCATTTCAGTTGGTGACACAAGACATGGCAAACAAGTATACATGAATGAGGCGAGCGGAGTTCCTGCTCAATCCCAGGGCGTTTCCTACAAGCGGCATTATCCTGCTGGCGGGCGTCCCTAAACAGACAGTCGGAATACCGGACTGGTGACAATATAGATAAGCGCATATATACAGTTTTTGACAACAATGGACAGATAAAGAAACAATAGCACATCCTTGACCAGTTGATGTGATGGCAGACACGGTCAAGGGGGATGACCAATTAAGGCAATAAATGTCATATACAATAATTAATGACAGTGACAAAGTGATACAGGGTGGCTGACAAGACAATGTACACTGCGGTAGTGATACGGATTAAGAATGCAGATTAAATGATTACAAGTAAATCGCACATGGCTGGACTACATATTTTTTGGCTTTTAGAAATATTTTGACGATGGCTGTCCTGAATTAGACGCTATGATTGGTGGTAGTAATTGATATTGAATTCAGTTTCATGCCCTATATGTTGTTGCATTGCAGGCTGGAATGACGTCGGCTTCAGAAACCCTGACATCATCTCCCCAAATATAGACAAACTGGCCAGAGAAGGGGTCATCCTCAACAGCTCCTATGTCCAGCCTGTCTGCAGTCCGTACGTTGTTTTATGTCTCTGTGTATCCCGCTCTCATAGCAATCCCGTGTCTGTCATCGACGAGACTACATATTGCATTATGAAGGAAATGTATTCTATTTTAGATGAAAGATCTGGCTGGTATTCTAAAAAAAAGATATCTTAATGAGCAACGGTTGATTGGTTGGTTTATATAGTTTTAGGGCGACGTGCGCCCATATAGCAACGGGTTTTATTATGCATTGTTGTCTCCCGTTGAGGTAAATGTTCCAGTTTTCATGTCTTTATTAAAACAACGACTACAAGATAAATTCATTACGTATTGGTACCAGGAGATGAGGAAATCTACTACCTATATGTTATTCAAACAATTTAAGGTAAAATTTGGCTTTGAAATGTATTTAGTTAATGTTTTAAATTATAACCACAGGTCTGCATTATGTAAATTAAGATTATCATCTCATACATTATTAATTGTAACTGGTAGACATGGTAGTAATAAAATCCAACGGGATGAAAGAATTTGTACTAACTATAATCTTAATGACATAGAAGACGAATTTCACATTTTACTTAAGTGTCCATCGTACACTACCAAAGATCTATTCATTTAAAGAAATATGATTGTAAAAATTATTCAGTTTATAAATATATACAGTTATTATCATCAGAAAATATTAATACTCCACGCTCTCTAGGCAGATATTGTATGAAGCTTTCCGTGTAAGAAACAACTTTTAACTTGTTAATAATGTCATCCTCACCATCCAACATAAATATTATCTATATTGTATAGTATGTATGGCCAGATGCCCATGTGGCTTGCGTCATTAAAATCAGTCTGCCTGTCTGTCTGTCATATTCATACTTAACATCAACCTCATTGACTACCGTCGAACCGACAATCACAATGTTTCTGGCTATCTTAAAGGACGTACCTTTCAGTAGAGTGAATGAGTTAATAATTAGATAGCAGCAGCAGTAGATGTTGTAATAGTAGTAGAAGTAGTAGTAGAAGCAGTAGTAGCTCTAGCATTTTGATTAATTTTTCCTGACTATAGCTCCTCCTGTTACAGATCTCGCAATGCGTTCATGACAGGCGTCTATCCTTTCAAAGTTGGTCTTCAGGTAGGGTGTTTCTTGGTTTTCTCATACTACCTTGTGTTGGTATTGTTATTGTGCCAATACTTTATATATAACATAAAATTGATTTATTACTCACACAATTAACCTTAATCATATTGTTACTAGTGACACGTTGATTACAGACCAAACTACCGGCCCCTACTCTGACATCCTTACCAGATTTGTTGAAACACGTGACCCTTTTTTTCCAACCAGCTTGGTACATTGAGGAACGTTTTGAGGAATTCTGCTGTCATACCATGCCCATACCATTTAATGATCAGGGCCTCCTTTCACAAAGCACTAAACTGATCGTAAGTCACTAAGGTAACCTTAGTGCAATGTTAAAGAATGGGAGTTAAGGTTAACCTTAGTAAAGGTTGCTTCTTGAAAGGAGCCCCAGTACTGCAGTAAACGGTAATTGTAAAGATGTATTGTTGTAAGCGATGTTTTAAGCACGTTGGTTGTGTTGGTACTTGGTCATTTCTATGCTGATGGATGTGTCGAAGCTTCGGATAACTTTTCCCTTGGTCCTGAGTTCGACAGAACGGGGTTCGACTGTATAAATTATTGGCATAATTCCTGCTTGAATGATGATCCGTACATGTGTATGTTGCAGCATGTGGTGATTTGGCAATGGCAAAACGTCTGTTCCCCCTTCAACCACACGTTTCTGCCTCAAGTGTTGAAAGGCCTGGGCTATGCTACTCACATCGTTGGCAAGTACGTGTGTGCTTACATATATGTTAGGGCGGTGGGGTAGCCTAGTGGTTAAGGCGTTCGCTCGTCACGCCGAAAACCCGGGTTCAATTCCCCACATGGGCACAATGTGTTAAGTCCATTTCTGGTGTTCCCCGCCGTGATATTGCTGGAATATTGCTAAAATCGGCGTAAAACTAAACTCACTCACTCACTCACATATATGTTACCTTACCACAAGGCAATTGTAATTACTATCAAACTTTCAGACGACATGTTCTTCTGTCTCGTAATCATACAATTTTGTAACATACTGAGGCGTTTAATAAAATTACCTGCTTCACGCGTCATACTCTTAACTGTTTAATTTCGGCGTTGGGCGGTCTCTTAACGAAATTTAAAAACACTACTGCGTCTTGTTTCAAGATGGCACCTCGGCTTCTGCAACTGGAACTGCACTCCCACCTTCCGAGGCTTCGACAGCTTCTTCGGCTACTACAACTCCCGCGAGGACTATTACAGTCACAAGCTGTGTAAGTTTAACACTGATTACGATTCTACCAATTCTAATGTGAAGGTCAGTCACGTGACTCTCGAGCTGAACTATACACCTTAATATTCAAATCTTTTTTCACAAGACGGTATTCCTAAATGACGTAATCAATCCCGGATTACTCAATTTCCGGAAAAAACCCTTCAGTGTTACCAGAAATTCATACTAATGCTGAACCCTTGTTTATGCTATGATTCTATTTATAATTTACTGACTAAACTTCAATTACGCTATCTCTACAAATGATGAGAGTATGCTACGAATGTCCTCGTGGACGGCCCTTCATTTGAGCTAAGTGGACTATAAACAGAAATGCAGATAAATGTATTGCGCTGTTAGGTAAACTCTGACCTGTTCAATACGAGATACTGATCCTGGAGTATTTCCGATGCTAGTTATCAGTGTGACCCTTGTCAGGTTTACGATAGTGGAACAAGGTCGGTTAGTCAGCAATATTTATGTAATCTATGACTGAATGATCGTTGCTTTATTGATTGTTAGGGATGATTGCTAGCTTGTGACTAACAGACATATGATACTGTAAAGGTGCTGAAGGTGATGTTATACCACCCTCTGTGTTTATCAGCCTTCCCGAGACTCATAAATCACACAACTTCATTGTTGGTGACAGGGTGAGTGAGTGAGTGAGTTTAGTTTTACGCTGCACTCAGCAATATCCTAGCTATATGGCGGCGGTCTGTAAATAATCGAGTCTGGACCAGACAATCGAGTGATCAACAGCATGAGCATCGATCTGCGCAATTGGGAACCGATGACATGTGTCAACTAAGTCAGCGAAACTCACCACCCGATCCCGTTAGTGAACGTGTCGTTTTCTGTAAAAGTTGATGGCAACGATCACAAATTGATGTAATGGAAAACATATTGTTTCCTTTAAAAATGCATCAAGTCAATTATATTTCCTCGATAGTAATGAACATCCATCAACAGGATATATTACATGTGCTCACGAGAACAACGTGAATGCACACATATAATGTGTAACTGTCTGACTGTAAATGACTTTGAGGATGCTCTTATTCCGTGTATTCCAGCAGGATACCTGGACTTCCGGCAAGACGAGGAAGCTGCGTGGCAGTATGAAGGCCAGTACTCTGCGGTATGTGTAATACTATTAGTTACACGACTATTTGTCAGGTAGTAGGCCAAGGCTTCAGGAAATACCGTTCGCCCCTTTCCGTAAACTCCAAGAAGACTTGCCCCCCTCCCGATGCTTGTTATGTGCGAAAATACGCCAAACCAATCAAAACGCGCGTAATGATTGCGGTGCTTCGATAAAAATAATCCCAAGTACTTAAATCGGTTATGGCATTTTTGGTTTGTTTAAAAAATCATGAAAAATATATATCGTCATAGAACGTAGCTAACAGAACTGTGTTGCCTCGTGTAGATTTTAGTTAGGATAATGCCACACACGTGCGTTTGTTGACATAACGGCTCTTATGCGTCCAATTGTGTTTATTTCTGACGATATTGCCGGCCTCTTTTGGAAATTGTATGTGCGCTTCCAACATTTTTAGGAAATGTAACTTTCAATCGCTACGAGTTTCAAAACAATAATGTTATATCTGTATGTAACTAATCAACTTTAATCTTTAACCTTGGGCATATATTTCACATCTCTGGGGATATTTTAGTCTGACGTTTTGGGTGTCATTCATATTTTGTTCAGCAAATTCATTTAAAATTCCACCAGGGGTATGACAGTAAGGTTACATGAATGATCAGTTGAGAAATATTTTAATGTCGTTTTGAGTATCTGCTTTAGGATTTAATGACGCTGATTTTTTGTTATTATTGTGTGATTATTAAACCCTATTTAGAAATATGATTGGAAATATAAGGTAAAAACAGCTGGTAATATAAATACGTTAGAATACGTATTAAATAAATATGGTTTTGACCTTCTTTTAGTTGCAACAAAGAGGTTAAAAATCTTTGAAATGAAAAAAAAAATCAACAGCATCAATACAATGTACGAGTGCTTCGGTAATATTAAGTACCATTGGAATCAAACAGGAGTAGAGTTATCGTTCTTGTTTAAAGTAGTTATGATGTTTATGCGCCAATATGAAATACTTCCCGAGGGGCACGAGTCGCTATTCGGTCTGTCCCGGAATAACACGTGTTGGTCACGAATGAGGAAATAGGGATTGAAACGGACCGTACCATCCCTTACTACCTGGCAAATGGCCGTGTAACGATTATATTACCCTTTCGAATTTGGAAGTGCATTTAGTGTGTTTTCTAGAACAGTATTCGTCCGTTTTCTTTCATTTCCGCCGCTATGTGGGACGCAAAGTATCTCGCCATGATTGTTGTCGCATCGAACATTATCGAACGATATTCCAAGGGACATTACCCTTGTACGCTTAAAAATATGTGTTGCGGAACTTGTTACTTCAAATAACACCCCTATTTTGGGTATATCGTAGGTCCAACCTGTTTTCTCTTCATAGATAGAAATATCATATTCTCAAAACAATTTGGGATAACATTTTGCGATAATAATACTTGAAATCTCTAAACGAGTTGGATTTCAATGTCAAAGGTCGCAAAGTGCCAAGGTCGTCCATACACCTGTTGGAACAGGGTATGATAGATTGATACTACCTATGAAACGTTTTGGTACGGTTTCATATCCATTGGCTATTAACCGCTCAAAGGTCAATACAAGGATCAAATCAAATACAAGGATGTCCTATTTGATCATACAACTTTATGACTACAGTTTCATGTACGTTTGTCCAACAGCTCAAAGTTTGTGATAACGCACAGATATATATTCGGAAAAGATATTAAGTACTACATACAATTTTACTCCATGCATAGGCGTAGTTGGTTAATACTTTCGTATATAACTCGGCTTTGGTTTTCCAGAACCTTTACTCCAAGAAGATCGTCAGTATTATTGAACATCATGAAAGGAGCAAACCACTGTTTCTCTACCTGCCGTTCCAATCTGTGCATTCCCCAACTCAGGTACTATATATCATACTTGCCTACTGACAAAGTCACCCATAGGTTACATATACCAAACTTGTACACTGACATGGATACATGTATGCACTGAACACACGTATGAACACGGACAAACATAAGACTAACCTCAAAAGCAACTATGATCAAAGATCAGCCAGAGATTTACTTGTATAGATCACCTCCTGATGGGGGGTTTGACAGACAATTATGTTTTTGTACTCAAGTACAGAATCTCTATAAGAACTGATGAAAACCTGTTGCGATGAAACCTACATATTTAAATGGTAATATCAAGGTACCCTTTGACGATTTATTGGAGCATGTTCACATTTAAGCAATGCTGCTAGGTTACACTCGGGTGAGTGAGTGAGTTTGGTTTTACGCCGCTTTTAGCAATATTCCAGCAATATCACGGCTGGGGACACCACAAATGGGCTTCACACATTGTGCCCATGTGGGGAATCGAACCCGGGTTTTCGGCGTGACGAGCGAACGCTTTAACCACTAGGCTACCCCACCGCCCCTAGGTTACACTCGAAGGTCCATAACACGATGGTGGACGCACAGAATTACACCAAGGAATCACCATCATTTGGCATTTAGCAATTATGATCAATATTGTCTTCATTGTTATCATCATATTCTGTGCTACCGTCACTTCACTGCGGACTGTGATTCCCTTTGCACATGTTGCAGGCCCCCCGCCCGCTATGTCAACCTGTACAAGAACGTGAACAACGAAGGAAGGAGGGTTTTCAGCGGTACAGTGAGATCTTACCTTATAATCTGTCGTAATGACCAAAGTAAAGGCTGCAGTCGTGTACAAGGAGTTGATCTGTCTTAACACTAAAACTGACCAACATGTGTTGCAAAACATATCTATTTGCCAAACTTTTTTTCTTTACTAGTAAGCATTGGAATCTCTGTACTTCCACGTAGCAGTCGTAATTGGAACTTATTTCACTAGTTTTCCGGTCTATCAATCACTTGATTGTCTGGTTTTCTCCCGTCTCATGACAGGATTACTGTTGCGCGGAGTCAGAAAAATAATACTTCCATGTGTAGTCAAGTTTTGTGAACAGCGGGTGCTACGGTAGGACAGGACATGCGTTCCCTTTTCGAGAACACCTGGTGTCATCACTGAATTTCGTTGATCCACTCACATCATTTTACAGCTATCTTTAACCGTTACACCAACGGAATTTGTTTCTGAGGATAATTAAGACTGGGTTTTCTTTTGCACTGACGTTCTACGCTAGATTATATAAATAAAAGAATTTGAAAGGTCAACATAGAAACTTTGTACATGATGTTCCCTTGTATTGTGTTTAGGAAATATATAAGACGTATTCTGAACCTCTTGTTTTATATTGTTTATGCAATTAGGACCTAAAACGTCAACTTATAGCAGTGAAGGTTATAACAACGTTTCATAGTGAGTGAGTGAGTTAGATTTACGCCGCACTCAGCAATATTCCAGCTATATGGTGGCGGTCTGTAAATAATCGAGTCTTGACCAGACAATCCAGTGATCAACAGCATGAGCATCGATCTGCGCAATCGGGAACCTATGACATGTGTCAACCAAGTCAGCGAAACTGACCACCCGATCCCGTTAGTCGCCTCTTACGACAAGCATAGTCGCCTTTTGTGGCAAGCATGGGTTGCTGAAGACCTATTCTACCCTGGATCTTCACGGGTCACAACGTTTCATAAGCAGGTTTAGGCGACTTCGATACTATGCTCAACAACGTATGTCCAAAATGGATGTGCACATTATACTTTACGCCCTTCTATATATTAAGCACTGTACCTATACCAAGTTATTATTTCCAGGTGTCTTTGATGATTGTTTGTTTTCAAGTAACTGACACAGAGCCAACATTATGCTACCCTTGTTTGACAGTCTTGTGGCTGTTTGTTAATACATCTTTATTGTTTTCATCATCAGGGATGGTTTCCGCTCTCGATGAAGCGATTGGTAATGTAACAACAGCGCTGAAACAACGCGGTCTGTATGACAACACCCTGTTTCTTTTCACAACGGACGTGAGTTGCATCTGGCTGTTTTATTAAATTAACTTGTCTTGTAGTCTTTCGGATAATTTATTGGTAACCGGCCCCTTTTAAACCTGACCCCGTTATTAAGGTGAGTGAGTTAATATTTATCGTCACATCGGCAATATTTCAGCCATATCGTGACGAGAACAATTAATAATTACATATAGAAAATAAAAGCCTGTTGACGAAGAACAGTAAAACTACTAGTGTATCACAGATATCCATAAAAATCTAGTAATGAAATCTAAAACATTTTAACTAGAAATGACAAGACAATGTAAAAACAGTCTATAGGGTGCCAACAACTGATGGTAGATCATCATACTCGGGACCATGGGGACGTACCCGTTATTAAGGAAACCCAACATTCATGACGTATCTTTTAATTAAAATGAAACATTTTCCAAAGACATTGCGTATTTCTGAAAAGTTAATCAGAACAAATTTCAGTCCACCTGTGAAAATCTTGGTTAGAATTCGTCTTTAGGAAGATATGACTGTCATAAGAGGTAACTAACGGGATCGGCTAGTTCGCATGCTGGCCTGGTTGACACCTGACATCATTGGCAATTGAATGCATTGAACAATGTACATGGCTCAGTCACTGGGTTATTTGATCCAGAATCGATTATTAACAGAATCGTCGTCATAAAGCTAGAATTGGCTCAAAACAATATCAGTATATTATGTTTTCTTTGGATTCTGGATGAACTAGTTTTCTTGTATATGACAGAAACATATTGCAGAGGTACATGATTGTTGTCTGGTACAAAACCTGTACACATTAGTACAGAGGAATACCATATAACTACTCTGGACGTCCCGTCAAGTTTGCTAATAAAACCGGAATATAAGAGATGTGTGTCATTAGTATTGTATGCTTTGAGTGAGTGAGTGAGTGAGTTAATATTTAACGTCACATCGGCAATATTTCAGCCATATCGTGACGAGAACATTTGATATTGAAATGAAATATATGTATATTATAAAAATCCTGCCGACGAAGGACAGTAAAACAACTAGAATATCACAGATATGTATGTAAAACTAGTAATTAAATCTTAAACGTTTTAACTATAGGGGAAAAACAATACAGTATAAAAATGGGCTATAAATCGCCAATAACTGAAGGTAAATCACCATACCAGGGACCATGGGGACTTACATTACGTTTGCTACATGCATGGACCCTAGTTGGATTTACACCATCCCTTCAGCCATTGGCGACAGAAGAGAAATCTAGCCATAAATTAAAAGCACACATATTCTACGATTAAAAACGTGGCAAGCCTAAATTTACTCTAAATGTGTTGGGACTTACGTACCCTCTCAGGAGGTATGCTTTTTTGAAGAACAGTTGACTTTTTGAACAGTTGACATCCCTTTGTGATCATTCAACGAGATTTCATCTCGTGCAAATTATGTGATAACTCTGTAATGTTAAATATGGTGCACTTTGTGAACTAAACAAATTAAAACTAAAAAAGAATTCACGTTATGGTGTGGCGGTTGACAGTTATACTGCACAATTCCTAAGTTCTTTGCCATTTCTAGAAGGTTTCCATTTCTCTGAAATCTGACTTTTCTTTGTGTGTATACACTGCATCATCGCATGTTGCCAGAATGGAGCCGAGATCTTCAGCCACGGCAACAACTGGCCCCTGAGAGGAGGGAAACATTCCATCTGGGAGGGAGGGACGAGGGGCACGGCGTTCCTGCATGGGGCGGGACTGAAGAAAACTGGTTACACATATAACGGGTGAGAAAGACTGCTGCATATATGCTCATGCCGAAATGAGCATAGCTCTGACCTGTTCACCGGCAATGACGTCGCAGGTACATTTTGTCCAAAGGATTACAAGGTGATGTGATTGAAACTTGCACAACTGAAACAAATCAGCTTCATCAAATGTGTATTTAGTACGTATTTTTTTTGTTATTTTATCTTTACCATCTTTCTCTGATATCCATCGTGTCATTGTCCCATTTAGGCAATATTATTAAAGAACTTCCAACCTACACTCAAGCACCTTTGTGTCGACGTTTACAGGACATATGATAATACGTTGATTTATCCAAGATTTGACATAACCAAAAATGATGAATAAAGTAAGCATAGGAAGAGACCGAGCTTTTACTTTGTAAATCGACAGCCCAAAGTTCGAACAAAGAGTGTTTGACTGTATACACACAACTCGGAACAACAGATTGAAAAATCGTCATTAGCAAGGGACTTATTATTTCCCAATAATTCGTAATTTAATCAGCTTGGTTGATAATGATATTTTCCCTGAACACAGAATGATCCATGCAGTTGACTGGATGCCAACATTGATCTCTGCTGCAGGTGGAACTCCAGGTGAGTGAGTTATTATTTAACGTCACATCGGCAATATTTAAGCCATATCGTGACGAGAACATATGTGACATTGAAATGGAATAGATGTATATTATAAAAACCTGTCGACGAAGGACAGTAAAACAACTAGAATATCACAATTACAACTAAAACTCGTGTGGAAAATTAAAACTAATAGCACTATTTGGACAATGCAATATAAACACTGGCTATAGATCGCCAACAACTGAAGGTAATCACCAAACCAGGGACCGGAACTCCAGGTGAGGGAACAGTACTTCTTTGAGTGACAATTTTAGACGTTGGAGAGTCAGATAAGGACAAACTTTATGGATGAACAACTTCTTTATTCACGTGATGCGCCGTTTCGATACAGGTTCTTGTATCCTTAACGGAATGTAGTGTTTAAAAAGTGATGGGGAAGGTGATGTGAAAATAGATTGAAAGTCGCGTTCGAACAGGCACGATAACAACACGTACAATCTTTTGGTATCTCGCTAAGGTGATCGACCCTATAATTCCCAGGATATACACTCTATCATTGATATATCTTTTCTTTTTTAAATAATGTCAGTATTGCCAACAGGTATAGTAGATATGTAGCAAGCACGTCTATATATTTACCTTATGCAGTGGGGGTTTCTCCATGCGATATAAGAATCCGTATCGCAACGTCGCATCTCATCATAAGAAGTTGTTCATCCATGTAGATTTTACTTATCTGAAGAAATATTACTTTAGACCATTTTGGTTAACTTGAATCAATTTGAGCTTTGTTCGGACATAGTGTTGTTCAAAGCGGACCTATTGTCTGCACAATGCCCATACCAGAGCAGTAAACGTCGAGTGAGTGAGTTAAAATTTAACGTCACGGTAAACGTCGACGACAAGCATCACGTCGGTATTTCCTCCAGTGGTCAGCTGACACACCATGACACGTGGAATACTGTCCGCACCGAGTACTGTACTTTTTATTGCACTGAAAAAGCATAGTTGTCAGAACCAACAACGATGTGTGTAAGTGAATGACTTGAACAGTATTTCAGTGGGAGGATAATATGTGAGTGGAAAATAATGAATGTGTTCGATCACACGGACATAGTTTCCTGAGTCACCTAAGAAACGTAACTCAGCCTAAGACGACTTGTCCACTGGTGTTCTCTTGGTCCATTAACAATCATTTGTATTTCAAGTCGGTTTATTGTAATTGAGTGAAACTGTACTGGCGAACATAAGTATACCGTGTATTGTATAAGAATATGTGGATAGCACATTTCATTTCACCAGGTCCCCGATTTTGAAAGAGTAAGTTATTTATGGCGACTTGGGCAGTCGAAGGCCCGACCACTCCTGATCCCTGATCCTGAGATCCCCGAATCACTTCCCTCGTTGAAACGTCTGTAAAATATGCATGTCATAAGCATTTAGCCGTCCTAATGATTTTGAATATGGAATAGCAGATCATCAATGACCAGAGGTAAAATCTCGACTAACTTTATTTTAATTACCTATGCATATTATCGTTATTTTCTCATTATATTTTCATATAAAGTAAAAGGTATCGATGGCGTTGACCAATGGGAATCTGTAAGCACCGGAGGACCCTCTAAGAGATCAGAGTTCATCTACAATTTAGACGACTACGTCATACCGACTGAGGGACAAGCAGGCATAAGGTGAGTGAGTGAGTTGGGTTTAACGGCGGTTTTAATGGTAGTTAGTTATTTCACGGCGTGCCAGCCCACCATGTCAGGCATGTCCAAAAATATACTATGTTTCGATGTTTGGTACAATCCACGAGTACAGTAATGTTGCTGGCAAATCCTTGCAACATAATCAGAGGAAATCTGGGATTTCCAGCAATCACAATTCTGGACGCTACTCTGCACAGAGAAATCCACTTGCATAAGGTAAATTAAAATACGTGTTTGCTCCAGATATACTATATCTATGAGTGAGTGAATTATAATTTAAAGTCACACTGGCAGTATTTCAGCCATATCGGGACTAAAAAAGTTGTACATATATAAATGAATAAAAAGAAAGTTAGCAAATGTACTTACCTGTCTGCAAAGGACAGTAAAACAACTAAATTATCACAGAGTGCACTGCCAGTTGAGATGCTTTGAACATGAGTGTTTCTGTTCGGGATGATGTGAGTGAGTTAAAATTTTCCATCGCATCGGCAATATTACAGCCATATAGCGATGGAAACAAGGTAATCAATTTAAAATATCTGTCGACAAAGGAAAGAAAAACCAACTAGACTATCACAGAAATACATTTAAAACTAGTAATTAAATCTCAAATACTTTAACTATAAATGACAAGACAATATAAAAACAGGCTATAGTTCGCAAACAGTAAGGTAGATCACCATACTAGGGACCATGGGGACTTACAGTACATTTGCTTCCTGCATGGACCCTAGCTGGATTTACACCATCCCTTCAGCTATTGGCAATTTTAGATAATCTAGCCATAACTTAACTTTGAGCTATTTTGGTACTACGTACATCACTATGAATAATACTGATATTAGAAAAGAGATATCACCGATAGAGTGTACATCCCGGGAATGATAGGTTCATTCCCCGTAGCGATATACCAAAATATGGTACCTGTTGTTATCCTGCCCGTTCGAACGCGACTTTCAATTCATTTTCATATCACCTCACCTGTCACGCTTTAAACTCTATATTCCATATTGGAATGTCTTAAGCCCTAATTATCGCTAAATTACGTTTTGTACACACTAAAACTGCGCTAAATTTCTAACTGGATGAAATACTGTAATTGTGAAACTGGTGTCTCGTGGTTGTTAGCTTGGAAGAACTAATGCAATTCAAACACATTTCACTTTCATTTCAAGGGCGCTGCAATGCTTTATCACGTGAGCGCTCAGTAACAAGCAAGTACCGCCATTATCCGTGTCTTTGCAGGATGGGTGATTATAAATTGTTGCTAGGATACCCCGGAACCCAGGATGGATGGCATCGTCCTATGAACAACACTAAGGATGATATATACGAGAAGCACCTGTTCGACCCTCTGGGAAAGGAAGCCTACTTGTTCAACCTGAAAGGTATATGAAGTCTAAGTATTGAACCAGTTTGTCAAGAACGATAAATTGGATACACCACCCTGGGAATGAGAAACTGAATTATCATCCGTACACTCCCAAAATGAGTGAGTGAGTGAGTGAGTGAGTGAGTTTATTTTTACGCCACACTCAGCAATATTCCAGATGAATGGCGGCGGTCCGTAAATAATCGAGTCTGGACCAGACAATCCAGTGAACAACAGCATGAGCATCGACGCATTTCCTGACACTTTCTGGACGCTCTCAATCAAATTATTTTTCCGTTGTTTTCCGTCGAATGTCCATGCACATAAACAACGAAGGTTTCGTGTTTGCAGTGTCAAGTTAACTTGGGTGACACACACCATTTACGCTGATCGGTGTTTATGATGTTAAACACTGGATTGTCTGGTCCAGATGTGAATACGCATAGACGAGCGTCATAAAGCGGCAATATAGCTGAGTGTGACGATGAGCAAAGAACGCACGGGTCCTCCTCTGTTTGCATGCTGTTACGAGTCGGTAGTGTCTAAACTGACGTTCAAAAGAAAGTACACATCTGATCCTTGGTAAAATATTTTCCTAAAACAAGCGTTAATATTTAAAAGAGTGTTTTGATTCTGCCTTCCAATTATTGTGTAAGTGTTTCTAAAATACCATTGATATCGTACCCAATTACAACGTTGCAGGCAAAATGTATATGATTATTTTGGATTTGTCCTAAAACACCAGGTGTATACTTTCTTACGTACGTCAGTATATCTGAAGGGGTTTCCTGCTTGTCTGATGTAATAAGACTCGGTACTAGATCTATCTGAAAGGACAAACAATGTTCTGTACGAACGTGTTAGCATGCCTCGTCGGTATCTGTTTTTAGAATGACACATTGTCATAACTTTATATTTCCAAAATAATTATGGACGTCCGATATGTATTACCATAGAGGGTGGGTGGTGTATAATCTTCTTCTAAATGTATATTTATACTAACACTGTCTGCGCCTGCAAGACAGCGGGAGGTAGTTCGATCCTTTGTCGGTTTTATAGCAAACGACTTTAAAAGATGTTACTTTTTATTACCCTGCCTTGTGCTGGGCATTATGGGTTTTAACATTTACTGATGGGCGGCTCAATGTAACCGACATAAGCGCTGACTGATACAAGCATTTGCATGGTGAGAGTACGTCTTGATTGGCTGAGCTTAGTATGTCGGTATTTCTATCCTTAGTAAAAACTCACCAGTAATTACACATTCATAGAATTGTGTTAGTGGCGGTGCCACCAGCATGGTAGGACATGTCTACACTTTGTATAGTTAATCATTCAAATACTATTTACCACAGTCTTGACAATGGAATCAGTTTCGGTGGCTGACGGATTATACTCTGGTGTTGATGGTTCACAATATATGCTTAGAACGAAGGACTCTGACCCGTGAAGATCCGGGTTAGAATGGGTCTACAGCAGGTTCGCTCACTTCGGTAACACATATCATCGTATGCAAATTGTGTAGATTGGTGTTCATGCTGTTGATCACTAGAATACCTGGCCCAGAATTGATTATGTACAGCCCTCCGTCATACAGCTGGAATACTGCTGAGTGCGGCATTAAACAACAGATAAACAAACAAACAAACAAATAAACAATAAGGACTCTGTGAAAGTATGTGAACCAGAGCTAAGAACCGTTTCTTCTTCACTTATTCAGATGATCCTCTGGAAACACACGATCTTGCAGAAGAGATGCCAGAACTTGTTGCTAAGCTACGAGAACGCCTTCTGGAATACAAGAAACATATGGTTCCAGCCAACTACCCCGGTCGTGACCCTAAAGGCGATCCCAGGAGATACAACAATACATGGACTCCAGGCTGGTGTTGACGTCATCGACGGTACTGTATGACGTCATCGTCATTTTACCCAACAATAGTGGGAACTAACGAGATGTGCGTGCTCTGTTGTTTTAAATTTAAACAGGAGGCCAACGTGCAACACAATGCCATGACATCAATCTGCAGTCGAACCTCGGATATTTACGTAGGTTCCTTCGACACAACGACGTGAGACTATGTAATTTTCACGCTTCCGTTTCCTATTACCCTATTCCTTTTGCTCACTTTTTGTATGACTTTAAAAGCATTCTTTTGTTTCAGTGAACGTTGCAGACACGTTCAATGGTGTTTTTTTTTATGCCATTAAAATGGTTTCATAAATATATTTGTGTATTTCTGAAATTATAACATCTGCAACTGGTATGACCACTGCACTCGGTTTCACCACTTAAGCGTGAGGCGTTAGCATTAAGTTGTGTTATTTTACATAGATATACACCACAGCCAGGCATATATTTGTATCGACGAAAAATTCAACGAAAATATTGGATTATCATCAGTACTTCACGCGGTTGCATACGCGGTATTCTTCAATCACCCGTTAGTATGGAATCCTGGAAGGGACATTGTCGCGTTGTCGCATTGTTGCGTTGTCGCCCTCTCAAATACAAGCAAAATGAGGCAAAATTAACCAAAGCGCGACAATGCCACAATGCGACAATGTCCCTTCTCGGATTCCATACGTTAGGGCATCCGATTTCTAATCTATGTCCCACAAAGAAAGGAGACCGTGAACAATATAGCTCAAATCAAGTCAAATTAGAAAAGCTCACTTGGACCTTTGTGGAACCGTACATACACTGAAGGTATAGCCTTTTGTAAAATTGAGGAATCCATGCTGTTATGAATGCTTAAAACTAAATCTTTCTTTAAGAATAGGCATTTCAATACGTTCTGTCGCATATAAATTAAAAGATTTGTTTCTGACTAACCGCATATTGTTTAACGCTGAACTCAGCAATATTTCAGCTATGCCCCCACGGTCTATGAAGAACAGGGTCTGGACCAGATAATCCAGTGATTGACTTCATGAGTATCGTTATACTGATTTGTGATAAGGTGACATGCATGAACCATGTCAGCGAACCTAACCACAATCCATTTAGTAGCCAATTACAAAAGGCACATTAGCAGGTTGCAGGGGAGGGTGGGTGTGGGTGGGTTTAAGGTGGGTGGGGGCATATTCTTGCCCAGAATCCTCACTGGTCTGAAGTGTATCTGAGTGTTCATTCGTTAGCACTATAACATCGAGGCGGTAGGGTAGTCTAGTGGTTAAAGCGTTGGCTCGTCACGCCGAAGACCCGGGTTCTGGTGTCCCCCGCCGTGATATTGCTGGAATGTTGCTAAAAGCGGCGTAAAACCAAACTCAGTCAGTCAGTCAGTCAAACGCGTATCGGACCTGTTCGACGTGGATGACGGAAGAAGCTATGCTCGTCTGGGGAGAACTGACGGTACCACTGTATATGGTTTACACTAAATGTCTTTGTTTTGTTTGTTTTATTGTTTAACGCCTCACCCTGGAATATCAAAGGTATATGGTGGCGATCTGTAAGTAATCGAGTCTTGACCTGACAATCCAGTGGGGCTGACGCACCTTCGAACATAATCAAGCGTAAGAGGATACGAACCATGATTTGATTTCTGGCGTGTTTAAAACGTCTTTAATTAGGACTTTTATATCTGCTGGTCTCTTCAGACGCAGACACATTTGATTAACTTATTCTTCCAGATCATGGCTGCAACTGATCGAGGCGCCACAAGTGCAAGTGATCATGACCTTAAATTACCAATCCCAATCATGTTATGGCTCGTCCACAAAAGTTCATCCGACATTTGTCGGGACGGGACACACTTGCAGTGAATTAATCGCTCTTGGCCAGACGTAAGTTGTGGGATTAAGAAAAAACTCTCATTAACTGCGTACTGAAGGTACACCGCCGAGAAGACAACTAGGGGCACTCGAGACGTCTAGACTCATTCAGATGATATCATGCTACCCCTTCAGCCAAACAAGCTTTACCTTTGACACTTAAATGTCTCTCAATAATTACAAAGCATGTTATGTCTCGGTGGAACTGCCAATCGCCCTTCGGCAGGTAACTCTGTATCTTTCATCGACATTGCAGGAAACTTTCTGGAGGGCTGACTGGGTGTGATGTTTGAGTACGCGTGCGTATTCTGCTTTTTTTCCTTTGCTTTATTTTTGTCTTATTTGTTTGTTTGTTCTTTACGCCACACGCCACACGAAACACGCGAATGAAGACGGACAAAATAATGTGTACATAAATAAATCGGTCAAAAGAATCAACTGTTGTGACATCAGGTGATATTCATTTAAAACACGCAGTGGTGATCTTCATGTACAACATGCAGTGGTGATCTTCATGTAAAACACGCAATGGTGATCTTCATGTACAACATGCAGTGATGATCATGTAAAACACGCAGTGGTGATCTTCATGTGAAACATGCAGTGGTGATCTTCATGTAAAACATGCAGTGGTGATCTTCATGTACAACATGCAGTGATGATCATGTAAAACACGCAATGGTGATCTTCATGTACAACATGCAGTGATGATCATGTAAAACACGCAGTGGTGATCTTCATGTGAAACATGCAGTGGTGATCTTCATGTGAAACATGCAGTGGTGATCTTCATGTACAACATGCAGTGATGATCATGTAAAACACGCAGTGGTGATCTTCATGTGAAACATGCATTGGTGATCTTCATGTACAACATGCAGTGGTGATCATGTAAAACACGCAGTGGTGATCTTCATGTGAAACATGCATTGGTGATCTTCATGTACAACATGCAGTTGTGCCCAAAGCTTAGCATGTGATATTCAAAATCATTTATGTTTGGGTTTTGTTTGTCTTTTAACGCCACTCTAAGCAATTGTTCAGCTATATGACGACAACAAGATCGAGGCTGGGTCAAACAATCCAGTGATTGACACCATGAGCATCAATCTAAGCAGTTGTGGTGAGATAACATGGATTCAACGAGGTCAGCGAGATACGATTCAAAAGAAATTCAAGAACTTCCGGATCGGTTATATTACTATGATGTATTCGCCATGGAAACAACAACGCCATTGTTTCATATTACAAGGGTACATTCAGATGTTCATGGTATGCGTATGACGTATTATCTTCTTGTTTAAATTTTGCGTTCTCAAATACGAAGCGGCCATTAAATATCTATTTCGCCTCGCGCTGATTGTGCGTCCGTTCAGTTTTCACATCAAACTGACTGTAGTCAGTCATATAACATGCATTGTTTCTAAACGGTCGATAAATGACAATTAAAAACTAAAACAATGCCCAAGTATTGTAAATATACCGTACTAGATTAACCATGAAACATATTTTGTTGAAAATAAATAAATATAAGGAAATGGTTGTCGCACACATCTCTCTATGGCAGCTGACTGGGTAACATGGCCACAAATGGGATTTCAGTCATAATCTTAGTTTTCAGTAGTTTCATGAAGGGAAGCTCATACATACACATACAAATGAAGGGGGCGGTGCGGTAGCCTGGTAGTTAAAGCGTTCGCTCGTCACGCCGAAGACCCGGGTTCGATTCCCAACATGGGCACAATGTGTGAAGCCCATTTCTGGTGTCCTCCGCCGTTATATTGCTGGAATAGTGCTAAAAGCGGCGTAAAAGCAAACTCACTCACATACAAATGATCATCTTAAAACTTAATTTACTCTATTAAAACAAACCCGTAGCTACGACATTCACGCAGGTTTTTAATGTAAGACTGGTTTGGTATTGCCCACACTCGTGAAGGTCCGGGTTAGAATTGTTTTTCAGCAACCCATGCTTGCCATAAGAAGCGAATAACGGGACTGAGCGGTCAGGCTCGCTGACTTGGTTGACACATGTCATCGGTTCCCAGTTGCGCAGATCGATGCTCATGCTGTTGATCACTGGATTGTCTAATCCAGACTCGATTATTTACAAACCGCCGCCATGTAGTTGAGTACGGCGTCAATGTATAAACCAGCTAACCAACCTGGATGTGATTCAGAAACGGCTAAATATTTTAACAATTCCTTTGACAGTTACCACAGATTATATTCACCCGTGACGATCCACGTTAGAATTGGTTTTCAGCAAACCGCGCTTGTCATAAGAGGCGAATAACGGGATTGGGTGGTCAGGCTCGTGGTTTCCCAATTGCGAAGATGGATGCTTATGCCGTTGATCGTGGATTGTCTGGTCCAGACCAGATGATTTACAGACCGCCGCCATATGGCTGGAATATTGCTGAGTGCAGCGTTAAACAACAACAAACAAACAATAACGATGTAGAGCTTTACAATAACCTTGGTGTGCTTCTGGTTTATTTTGCACAGACTATGTTCAGCTGTAGACTCACTGAGATGATAGATGGAACCTTGCTCTCGTAAGAGGAATTTCGATAATCGCTGACGTACATCGTTGTCTTCATAATCATTCAGATATTTAGTTATTTTGCCTTGAAGACGTCCTTGTTTTCAATGTAAATTTCCATTCAATACAATCTGGTATCGGTGCCGATACGTTTTTGCAGCTGTTAGTTCCTCTGAAATTGTTACGAACACCTATCAATGAGTGGACACATTTCATAACGTGTTTGTCGTCATTTTCACGTTGCATTCTTTCACAGATTAGTTTAATGGGTGAGCCGTGTGTTCAAGCGAATAACAAGTGTAGATCCCTTCGTCGCCTTTAGTACTCATAAATTGACTGCTCTTGTAAACTTCCTGGTTATACATCCGTGATTGTGGCTAAAAACGAAACAAATGAAATGTTTGATAGGCATTTCTCAGAAGCTGAAGGATGAAAAAACGTTTAAGGGATAAGAACGTTATTACGTTATAATAGCGTTGTTATGGCAGAGATCATTATACCGTTGTCAAGCAAGACAGGTTATTCAATTATGACTGATCTAGTACGTGTATCAGAGTTCTGTCTGGAACTTAGTGAATGCGTGAGTTAAAATTTAAAGTCACATCGGCAGTATTTCAGCCATATCGTGACTAAGAGAGTTGTACATATATAAATGAATACAAGGAAATTTAGTAAATATACTTACATGTCTGCAAAGGACAGTAAAACAACTAGA